CAACATAAAAATGTTCTCATGATAATACTTTCTGTTTGATGAAGAGAATTCAGAATATGTGTTGGCAACGCATGCCATCCCATATGTGACACCAGTAAATTCACACACTAGTGGATTTAACAATCCCTATTTAAGATGAGGATGGTTTCATAGGTGTGAGACCAGAGCAGTCTGGCTGGACCCAGTGCTCAGAATGTCCCCACACTTGGGGTTTAATGCTTTTTGATAGCCATATAAAATTCAAAATGATTTTATCTCTGAATTTGCATTTTTAAGTGAAGTCTATGGGATAATGAATCATGTGTGTTGGGTGTTGGGGCTCAGAGTCCTAGAACATTTGTAATCCCACCTCCCACCATATCCCCACCTTATGAGGTGTTATTGCTGGCTCTCTGCTCACCTATCTCTGGAGCACCTGGCCCACCAGCAACTGCTAGCAGAGCAGTGAGACCATGAGAATGGTGTGTGTGCTAAGTTGCAGGGCAGAGCCCCTGTGGACCTATAAGAGTGTACCCTCACTCTATGAGTACCCCATATGTTAGGGAGCGAGATATTAAGCAGCAGCTTCAAAATATTATGTATAGTTAGAAACAGACCCGTGGAAAAAATGAAAATAAAACAGTTTATTTATTTCCCCTGATTTTGTAATAAAAGGTCCCACCTTTTCATGTTGCACTGATTCTAACAACTCTTTGTAGCTAACCCTACCTCCTTCACAGTCATTCCTGAACTGTTCAGTTTTAGCTCCTCACAGATAGTCCCTAACCACTGTAGTAGGAGTCACAAACTTTTCATAAGGGACCAGAAAGTAAAATACTTTCATCTTCTTAATTTATAAATCTCTGTTGCAACTATTGAAGTCTGCAGTTGTAGCGCAAAAATAGCCATAGACAAAATTAATGAATGAATACATGGCTATTCCCAATAAATATTTTTTACTTATCAGCTATGACATTTGAGTTTCATACAGTTTTCATGAATCACTAATATTATTCTTCCTATGATTTTTTTCAAACATTAAAAATGTGGGGAGCAGGTGATTGGCCTAGTAGTTAAGATTCCAGGTTGGGAACCCCTGCATCCCATATCAGAGTGCCTGGGTTTGAGTTCTGGCTCTTCTCCTGATTCCAGTTTTCTGCTAGTGCAAACCCTGCAAGGCAAGGCAACAAGTGATAGCTCAAGTGATTGGCCCCTTCCACCCATTTGGGAGACATGGATTGAGTTCCTAGATTCCAGCCTCAGCCAGACCCAGCCCTGGCCATTTGGGCATTTGGTGAATGAACCAGAAGATGGGAAATCTGTTTTTTTCACCTTCTCTGTTTCAAATAAATAAATATGTAAAAATTTTATACAGATGCATAACTGTGGAAAACATTCTTAGCTCACAGACTTTATAGAAATAGTCAGAAGCCTGGATTTGGCCCATGAACTGTAGTGTGCTGACTCATTACTAAAACATAATGCTTCTCATTTTCCGTCATCTCAGCTGCTCAGTGAGCTTTAGGCAATGACTTCCTCTTCAATGTTCCTTATGCTGGCTGGTAATAACCAACAGACCATTCTGAAGAAAGAAATAGGAATGAGAACAGATGATTTGTCGCTCCTCTGTGGCTTTCCTTTGGAATTTCCATTAGCCTACCTGCCCTGTTCCAGATATTTCTTTTGAAGCCGTACTACAGTGAGGTCATAGCACTCTGATTAAAGAAAGGAATTTATCATGTACACTTGAATAAATGTGTTCTGAGCAGTCTAAACTGCATCTCTATAGCATATAAGCATACATCTCACATAATTCCAGTATAGTGGCATAAATTTGCATTTCCCACACATAAAAAAATGTACTGTGTGGCATTCATCCAAATGAGAAATCTGGGTGTGACCTAGACTTCTCTCTTAAAATCAGCCTTCACAACCAATCAGACATCAGGTACTAAAGACTTAACTGCCTTAGCATCTCCTAAGAACATCTGCTGTCCCCAACTCCATTGCTGCTACTATACTTCAAGTTCATACTATGCCTTGGCTGGACATAATTTAAGTAATCTCCCTTTAGTCCCACCATGACCAATCCATTATGTAAACAATGGAAGGGATTTTATTAAAAACTGAAACCCAGTTATGAGGTTCTCTTGCTTGGAATCATTCAGTAGTTCATTAAAATACTCAGGTTAATAACCAAACTCCGGCCCCGCGGCTCACTAGGCTAATCCTCCGCCTTGTGGCGCCGGCACACCGGGTTCTAGTCCCAGTCGGGGCACCGGATTCTGTCCCGGTTGCCCCTCTTCCAGGACAGCTCTCTGCTGTGGCCCAGGAGTGCAGTGGAGGATGGCCCAAGTGCTTGGGCCCTGCACCTGCACGGGAGACCAGGATAAGCACCTGGCTTCTGCCATCGGATCAGCGTGGTGCGCTGGCCGCAGCGCACTGGCCGCGGCGGCCATTGGAGGGTGAACCAACGGCAAAAGGAAGACCTTTCTCTCTGTCTCTCTCTCTCACTGTCCACTCTGCCTGTCAAAAATAAATAAATAAATAAATAACCAAACTCCTTAACAGAGCTCTCCAACTTCCAGCGTCTCATCTTGTGAGCCCCTACTACCATCACATACACTGTACTACAGCCATACCAAACTACTTGCAGTTTTTAACTTTCCTTCTCACCATTTTCTTCTACCTGCCTGCCACATCTGCTTAACAAAAATTCATCAAAACCTTTTCTGATCTCTGTTATGTAGAAGCTTACCTTATATTTTGTCCCCCTTATATTGTATGCTGCTGCATATTTTTTATTTCTTTTTATTTTAAGATTTATTTTTATTTATTTGAAAGGCAGAGTTATAAAGAGGGAGAGAGAAGTCTTCCATCCGCTGGTTCACACCCCAGATGGCTGCAACAGCCGGAGCTGTGCCCATCCAAAGCCAGGAGCCGGGAGCTTCACACAGGTCTCCCACACAGGTTCAGGAGCTCAAGGACTTGGACCATCTTTTACTGCTTTCCTGGGACATACCAAAGAGCTGGATTGGAAGCAGAGCAGCCGGGACTTGAACCAGCGCCCATGTGGGATGCCAGCACTGTAGGCAGTGGCTTTACCCGCTATGCCACAGCGCCGGCTCCAGTAGTTCTTATTTTTGCACTGAAGCATAACTGTTGTATTACTTGTCTCCTCCCTTAAACACCATCCCTCCGCCCACCTCAAGTCTATAGTCACCTGTCTTATTTTTTATTCCCATCACCATGCTTACTGTGGTATCTGCAGCTTAGTATCATTCAGCAAATATTTGTGGAATGAATTAATTCACCAAAAATAGATTTTGTTTTCATGATTGCATAACAAATTGTGTTTTTAATGCAATAGAATTATGCATGGATGGGGTTCAGAAACATACATTTAGAAACACTTAGAAGTAAAGGGATCATATACATGAGTTGGCTTGACCTTTATAAAACTTATGGGAGGGAACATTATAGAAATTTAATTCATTGTCCATACATAAAGTGAAACAAATTCACAATACAGAGCAATAAAACAAAACCTAGAATGGTGGACACACCTGTGTTTCCAATGGGACCAGTGTCATAGCTCGTGCCATTTTAATTACTGTTATAAAGTCTAGTGGAAAGGACATTGAATGTGAAATTGGGATTCAGTAGCTCCAAGGACAGACATTTCACAAGAAACCTAGCCTTACACTAAGCCCTGATCTTTTATACTGCAAAAGCAACTGAGTCTTGTGTGGGTACTAATTTGAATTCTATTAATAAGTTAATGTGTCATAATAATAAATGACTTGCACTTTATTGCATAATATTATTTATGATTCTCAGCCTCTTTCATACAAATATTACAGTGGTAGAAGAGCAGAGCATATTGCAATAATTAATATACTTTATCTTTTTAAAACTTACAGTTTTAAAATGTTTTCCCTATGTCTATTTTAGATCATAGACTAAATGATATCTACTTGGAAAAAAACATGATGAGTTTGAGATATAGGATATATGTGAATTTTGCAGGAAAACAGAGTACAGTGATTAACAAATATTTGAGGGAAGTGAAAGCTTTGGGAAATGAAAAGTATAATAAACTTTATTGTTAAGACCTTACATTTAATCTTGTGAATTATAAGAGATCATCAGTATTTCAGTAATATAAATAAGAATAAAAATAAAATTTGGATTGATTCTTGAGGATTGTATATATACCCTAGAGTAAAAAAGATTGCACTTTTTCTGAAAGCTGATGGTAGAAGTTCTGCCAGGTAGGGGAAAAAAGTGAATAAAATTAAAAGTCTGGAGAAAAAGACCCAGGAAACATCCATAGGGAATAACCCACTACTAACGAAGGATATTGTATATATCTGCTATTACTCTGTGATTTTATATTTTATGTTTAAGTTGACTTTTCTTGTTATTTGGGGATTAATTTTAAAAAGAAAATCAAAATTCACTACAAATACCAAGTAGTGTCTTAGATCCAAGAAAATGTTCTACATAACTTTGCTGAATTCTGATGATTAAATTCCTGCATATGGTATTTGGGGACAATATCTAATGCCACCAACTCCTTGGACTCTATAAAGAGTCACAAGAGGGAACTGCCTTAATTATGCTTCAATGTTATAGGGGACCTTTTATTATTAGATTCTATATCCTCAGGGTCTGGCAAATGCCAGATGCTTAATAAAATGTTAGTTGAATGAACAGTGTGTTAAAATTGCAACTTTCAAAATGGATCACTAAGAGAAATTCTGTGTACTGTATTTTTACAATCTGGGGAAATCAAATTAAAAGCTTAAATTGTTATATCGTCTATGCCACAATATTTTGTCATTAAATAATCTTTATTCATCAAGTGGTTATTTACTACCTCTTTGTAAAATGAAATTGGTTATAGGTATGAAACTTACTTTAACTGAAAAAAATGTCGCTTAGATTAGATTGATGGGGCGATTGTGTTAAAAGTGAATATGATCATATTAATACTTTGTGCCACTCATTTATTTTAGCCTAAACAACGAACATCCATTGTATCGTCTCTGGATTTTCATCGAATGAATCACAACCAAGAATATTTTGAAATCAACACATCTGCAGGGTGTACAAACTTTACTTCCAGCCCTCCTGGCAGTCCACCCACCTCTTCTGTGGAAACCACAGAAGTCAAGAATGAGGGAACTGACCGTGCAGGTAAAGCAGTCACTTTATGCAGCCATATTTTTTAACTTTTAAGACTTAAGCCTTTATGCTTTAGAGGAATTAAAAGGAATCTTTGTGCAAAATGCATTGCTTTTAGCTCATCTATATGCATGGCAATGCAGGGCTTCAGATTTTTGTCAGAGTGTAGATACAATATTCTTTTGAAATACATAATGAACTTTTGGGAGTCAGATATTAAAGACAATGACTTAACATTATTATGGTAGTCAAATAGCAGAGGCCCAGAAATGCTCCTTTTCCACTGCTGTTTACCCCTCTCCAAACAGTGATGTCAGTTCAGCACACTCCTTTGTTAGCAACTGCTTTCAGGCTAGAGAACTCATATCAAGGATGTCTAAGCTAAGACTAAGCTGGACTGTGTGGATGGGTGGTCTAGAAATCTGCTTAATCCAAGGGAACTTGGAGAGGGTAAGACTGGGGGTAAGGGCAAGATGAAGGGAAGGAACCACAGCCAATAAGGTACCCCTGGTTCCATCCAGTGAGATTGCCCCTGCTTCCTTTCTTTGAGAGACAAAGAGCTAATAACTGGTAAGGCCAAGGGACAGAAATGGGAGAATTGAGACCTAAAGAATCTCCCCTCCTTCTGATTTACAGTAAGTAAACTGCAATCGCTTTTTAAAACCCAGTAGATATGATTAATATGAATTTTAGAATCATAAAGTAAGGTCAGTATATGTATTCCATGTAATCTGTTCAAAATGAGTGTGTGTATATGAGGATATAGAAGTACATGCAGGACTTATTTAAGTCCTTTGATATGACTACTTGTAAAAGCATTAATACAAGCATTCCAAAAGAAAGTATTTTTCCTGAGAGAAAAAAGCTAAGACCTTAAAACAGGAAAAAAGCTAAGTTTAGAAAATAGTTAAAAGAGAGTGGTAAGATGGATGTTCCATGGACGTTCTAATCCAACCTTTCACGGCAGCCAGAGTGTTACTTATAAGATGTAAATAAAACTGTAATATTACCATACTTAAAATGCTTCAATGACCTCCCATTGTGCTTAAAATAAAATCCAATCCCTTACCAATGCCAATGAAGCCCAGGTTAACTTGATTCCTGAGTAACTCTTTTATCTTTAGCAAGCCCAGCCTGCCTCTCATCAGCCTTCTTTTCTGGGCATCAGGCCCTGGAATTTTTGCACTTTGGTTCTTTATGCCTGCAATCTGGGGCTTCAAATTGTCATGTGGCTGGGTACCATTTAGGTTTTGGCTCAAGGGCACTGCACTTTCTCATAGAAACCTTCCCAGAGCACCCTATCTCAAGTAGAAGCCCTTAGTGGATGATAATGCTTATAATAATGACACAAAAAGAAGCAGCAGCAAATACATAACACAATTAATGAATCACTATTGTAGGCACTTTGCATTTATCAACTGATTAAAACTTCACAACTATCATATAAATAGTATTATTATTTATAGATAAGGAAATATAGACACAAAGATGGTAAGTAACTAAATAATTGCCCATAAAAACAGAGTTGGGATTCAAACATCGTGTGGAGTGCATTTTCTTAACCATTTTTCTATGTTGGTCTAGTTACTTCTGTCAAATCAGTCTATTGTTTTTCTCATGTACCTTTACTTAATATATAAAAATATATTTACCATTTATTTACTTAATTATTATAGTTTCCCTTCTTTCTGGAATGTGAGCTAGAATTGATGGATCTCTGCTGAAGTCAGGCTGCCTAAGTTTGATTGCTGAGACTTAACGTCTCACCTAGCTATGAGACATGACCTCTTTTTGCTAGTTTTATTTTCTATAGAATTAGATAAACAATGATTTAATTAGATTAATATGCTTTGCAATGTAGTAAGACAAATAAAATGAGGGGCAGTCATTTGGCCAGGTGGTGAAGGTACCTAAATCCCATATCAGTGTGACTGGGTTCAAGTCCTGGCTCCACTTCCAATTCTATCTCCCTGCGAATACCCACCCCTAGAGGCAACCAGTGATGGCCTGCAAGGAGCTGGGTCCCTGCCACACATGTGGAAGACTTGAATTGAGTTCCTGGCTTTTGGCTGGGCCTTGTGGATGTTTGGAGAATGAACCAGTGAATGGGAGTATTCTCTCTCTTTCTCTCTGCCTCCCAATTAATTAAATTTTAGTGAAGAGCACAGTATCTGGCACATAGTGCTTAATAAATGTAACTATTAGTAGTAGTAATACTATTATATAATTCCTTGTGGTCCAACCTGGTGTTGAACACCAGCATTTTCTGTATGTCTGCCACATACCTTACGCAATTTTACAAGAGAGGAGAGAAGTGATATGTGGACTTAGAGAAGGGCTCTGGGCATATACTTATTCAAATTGGTATTGAGTTACTAATTCAGTGGCTAGTTCACAATTTAGAATCCTAAAATGGAATGAATGACATAAACTTTGATACTTACCTTTAGGAGATCTTCCTCTGCTTTTAGTTCCAGAGCTTGTTATTTTAAAATGTGTTTTTCAACAATTCTTTGAGTGATGTCAAAATATCATTTCTGTTTTTTCTTTGTTTTCAATTAAAAGCAAAAGAAATTATAGGTGTAGTTCCAAAGTCCTGGTGCGTTCTCTCTTCCCTGAGGCTGACCACCAGAGGGAGCAGATGAGAACACAAACATGCTACTGCTGCCAGGACTTCAGGGGCACCAGCCGCAGTGTGCGAAGACATTTTAATTATCAGAATATTTTCATGTTTGACCTTTAGGCAGAACCAAAATGTCACCTTTTAATAGTTGAAAGGTTTTCTAGTAGCATGTTACTCTTGTTTCCTAATGTAAGATCTCACTTCCATATTTCATCAAAAATTCTAGGAGAGCTTGATACTTAATAATAATATGAAAGGACAGTGCTGACTTACTTTACATTAAACACTAAAGCTTTCAATTTTAAAAATAAAACTTATAAGGTAGGCATTTATCTACCTGAAAAAGTAGGATGTCATTATCTTGCACATAGATAATCTGTTGTACTTTACGTTTAAAAACCTTCATGTAAAGATACTACCACATGATCTATTTAAAAACTTTGTGGAAAATGGAATTAAAAGGTAAGCTTATTTTGGTTCAAAAGAAATTTAAATCCATGTATAAAAATGATGTTCAAAAAGTTCATGGAAAACAGGCCTTATGAAAAACCTATGTATACATTAAAAACTTTTTCAACCGAAGTAATCTTGTCTTTGAATTCCATTTTTTCTATTAACTGTTTGGAGTACCCCTGTCTATGAAAGCAAATGAGTTCAGGTGAGTTCAGTCATTGATTTGCTAGGTATTTTTCATCAAATCACTTAAGTTTTCTGATCTTTAATTTGCTCCTTGTAAAAGGGAAATAATATCTATTCTTTGGGTACCTGTAGTAATAAATGAGTGTACTTGTGTAAATGTATTTTATAAATTATGGCATAAGTTCTTTAATATATCATTATATTGTTTTCTTCTTCACTATTTGAAATCTATAGGAGTTATAAAACAGATGAGACTACTGTAAGTTGACACATACTTCTGCCAAGGGAGCTGACCCTTTCTTGATTTAGAAATATCAAAATTAACTGATAAATTTATAGTTCATTTCATAAATTGTTGCATGTACAAAAACATTAATTTTGACCAAACTGTTGCTTAACAAAACAAAGATTAAAATATCTTCAAGTATAGGTTGTGTGCTGCAACACATATTTTAGGTGAGCCAATGAGTTTTTTTCCATAACAGAGTCATTTCAAAAATCACCTGAATTGTAATTAAAGCTACAATTTTGGAATCATCAAAAAAGTCCTTAAAGGGGAAGGCCTTTGATTTTAGACTGTAGAATGATATGAATGGGTTTGCATTCAACCAGAAAGGTCACTCTAGTATTAATATGTAGCAGATAGATTTGAGATGAGGTGAGAGCCGAGGTGGAGAGAATGTGTCATCAGCAAGGGAAAGGTGTAAATGGATTTAAGCTATACAAAGAAATAGCAATTAACGGGTCAATGTAACTGATTGGATGTGCAAAGGTGAAGGAGAATAAGGCAGGCTCAAACTTTCTGTCTTAAATAGATGAATCAAATCCGCATGCTGTGCTTTGAAATAAGGAATATTTGGGGAGAGGCATTTGGCACAGTGGTTGAGATGCTACTTGGGATACCCTCATCCCATATTGGAGTGCTTAGGTCCAAGTCCTAACTCTGCTTCCAAGTCCAACTTCTTGCTAAGGCAAACCCTGGGAGGCACCAGTTACGGCTCTAGTACTTGAGTCTCTGCCACCCACATGTGAGACCCTGATTGGATTCAGGACTCCTGGCTTTGGCCAGGCACAGTCCCAAATGTTGCAGGCATTTGGGGAGTGAATTGCTGATGGAAGCATTCTCTCTTTCTCTTTCTCCCTCTCCCTCCTGCCCTCCCTCTCCCTCTAAAAATAAAAATAAAAAATAAAAGTTTAAAATCATGGAATATTTCTAGGTAAGAAGGTAAGTGTTAGGGTATAGAATAGATCATATAGAGCCTAAGAAGCCATTTAAATAAGGACTTTGGCTTTTGCTTGAAATGAAATGAGGGACCAATTAGGGTCTTTTGGGAGAGTTACATGGTCTAACTTCTGTTTTATGAGGGTTCTCTGGTTACTGTGTTGAGAATGGATGGAGGACGAACATACAAGGAAATAGGAAGGTCAGTTAGGAGATAATTACAGTGTTGCAGTAAGATGAGAGGGGAAGGCAGCTAAGATCAAAGGTGAAGCAGTGAAGGTGGAGAGAAACAGAGAGATGTTGGACATATTTTAAGGTATATCCACTAGGATTTCATTATAGAGTGAATGTGGTATATGAGGAAAATAAGAATCAAGTATGACTCCAAGATTTTTCTTCTGCATAACCATAAGAATAGATTTCCTATCATCTGACATGCAAGAGGCTGTGGGAAAAGCAGATTTTATGAACAGAGAAAAATGTCAGGAATTCATTTTAAGTTTGAGATACCTACTAGATATCTGAATA